GGCTTGCTGCTGAAGAGATAAAACCCTCCTGAGGGGGTTTATTAGGATCTATCAGTGCTTCTATGCCTGATCTTCTGGCTCTTGTCCTTACTTGAGCAAAAAAAGATGCTTCCATCTGTCCTTCTGTCAGATGTCTGGATAATTTACCTCTTATTAAGTGCCCTTGCCATTTGTAATGTGCAAAGATGAACAATTGGTCTTTAATGCTTTGAATATCGTCTACATGTTGTTCAAGATTCAAATGATCATTCTGTTCATAATACAATATTTTTTTTTGAAGTTTCATTTCCTCCTCATATCTGTTCTTGGCAATTTCCTTTGAATAATCATTACATTTCCGGACTAAAAAGACTAACCCATTATTAAACTAGGAAATGTATGAATTATGCTTATCTTTAGTTGAATCAACTTGAATGTCAAAATTTCCACACATCCTGTACATACTTTTTAAAATTTGGATGCTTTAGGATCAAAGAATTTAATTAATAAAATCCTTCTCCTTGATTTGTTTTTTTGCGAAAAGAAAGCAAGACAACACACATTTTGTGATCCGCTCCTGGCCAAGGATTCTTGGGGAAGATAGCCGCCCCTATCAACGCTCTATCTAAATCTTCGGACTTAAGAATCAAATCAATTCTTGATTTAGATTGATGAGGGGAACCATTATTACGAATACAAGTATATAATCTTTTTTGCGGAAAAAAACTTCTAAAAGAATCATATAGATTTTCTGAATCACAAAGTTATTGTATAATCTGCTCATCTTCCTCTATATATGATGGATAAGGTGAAGGAACCCTCCACCTATCCAACCATATATCAGGAGCTGCATTGAAATATCTCGCCATGACTACTGGTATCCCATCAGGGATACGTCCCGTAATGTCATGGAAAAAACGTTTACGTTCCTGAACTTCATTCGGAGCATATATATTTATGACACAAATTATTTCAATTTCAAGCATCACTAATGCGACATTCCATCCTCCTTGCTCCTTATCCCCCTTTCAATGTACTATATCAATATGCGAGTCGGGGGGAACCCATAACGCTACACCCGTAGACCTTCTACGTGGGGCATATGCCTGATACTTCTGATAGAACCAAACCCACTTATGGGTCCTACAATGTTTAGGAGTGTCAGAGAGATGGGTTTCCTGGATGGAAATCAAGTCTGTCCAAGAACGGCCTCCCCCCCCTTTCAACTGCTCCATAATTGATCTCCTCTTAGCGGCATCCGCAGTTGCCAATCCATTAACGTTTAAAGATCTTAGGTCTAAATCTGTCGTCCTGGTAGCACAAGTCCAAGATGGATTTTTGCCATAATATGCATGTAAGGCTTCCATTTATATAGACCTAAGATCCTCCTCAAATGGTATTCGTAGAGCCTCGCCCAACTGACTCCTTCCAATGAAGAAGCTGCAGTGAGCAAGCCTCTTTTAAGAACCGAACAAAGGAAAGACACAATTTCTGCAACCGACGATACTACATTTGCTTTGATCTTCAATTGCTGAAGTTCAAGCAATGCAGCGTGCGAATACCACTTAAGTCCGGCTTCCTTATTTTCCTCAAAACGTACGAAAGAATCCTTCCTTGCCATCTTTGCATGATCTCCTGATTCTGTAAATGTGGCTTGTGGCCCTGGATCAAAGTGTTGAGCTAGGAAGTCATGTAAGTCTGTTCTAAAAGTTTTGTCGCCCGTGCTTTGGTATCCTGTGTAAGTAGTCCACCCTCTCAGGGTTATCCCCCCAAAATGTTATGGCCCAATAGGGGAGAGGCCAATCTCCCATTTTCCGTTTTTTTCCTTATTGGGATTACCAGGTTTCCCCTGGGAGATTGAGACCTTACCACCTGACCTCTTTCTTT